CGCTCTTCCAAGGTACGATGATTATGCCCACGACCAGATCATAAAGGTTTCAGCTTTGAGCTTCGTAGGGGACAACAATGGCTGAAACAGAGAGATGCGTGCTTTCACGTACCTGAGGATGGACCTTAACCTGTTCCTGGCCGAGAACTGAAGGAGATTCTTTGCGTTCGTGAAGAAAATGGGAGAACCAATGCTGGGAACAGGTGGAGCATGTGCCCAAGAGGTGGGTCCTTAGGCACCGAAGAAAAAACAGTCTTTAATCGCCATTATATCAAAACTACTCTTACTTTATTACATGGATTTCAAACCATAATTGCACTCTTCTATATGTTCCTCTTCTCTCAGTTTCATATCAAAAGTAGCGAAAATAATATCGGTCCGATTCATTATTGTATTTGATCCATGATTTGGGGTATCAAATATTGGACCGGTTCTTGAACCGGTATTGCATTTGTAGTTTTGTACACAGTGGAAACTAACCGTATTGCATTTGTAGTTTTGTACACAGTGGAAACCACTTGTCTAGTAGGGGTAGGCTGCCTCCGCTCCAGCTTGCTCTACCACCTATGCAATCACAGCTCAGTCATTGACTGGCGAACTAAAATGGATAGCTGCTGGGAGAATTGCGACTGATGAATCGCGATCAGCCGCTGATTCCCTTGCCGTTAGATCCGTGCCTCAAGACTCTGCTACTGGGACTCGGTCGGAAGAATCTACTGCAGCCATCTCTGGACACGGGTCGGGTACCCCTACTTTTTAGGAAACCCGATCTCGGTCTCATCATCACAGGTTTTACGAAAAAATTATCTCATTCTTGATTTCATGAGATCCTGGTACCCCTAATTCGGGTTCAATGAGATTCTCAGTGTCGTACTCATAGGTACCCGGATCTCATAAATAATTAATTCAAATATTCTATAATTTATAAAATTCAATAAAAATAACTTAAACAACATTCAAAACTCGATTTTATAAATTATAAATTCGATTTCATAAAGATTGAAAATATAGAAAATAATTAAATAAAATAAAAATATTTTAATAAATAATAAAATATCTTAGATAAATATTATAAATATAAAGATATTTTTAATTTTTAATTAATATATCGGGTACCCGGGATATCCGTTATGAGTTAATCGAAATCCGAATCCGGACCCGGGGGTCAAAAACTCGGCCTCGTTAAACCCGGTCTCATCATCGTTAATATCCGGTACCCTTTCTCCGGGTACTTGTTAAGCCGGGTACTCCCAACTCCCGGGTTACGGGTTGAAACGTCCACCCCTATTGTCTAGTCACATATATAGGGGTGGGTGCGGTTATTTGAAACCTGCGGGTTTTCGGATACATGGTCTCATATATGTTCGAAATACGGGTATTCGCTATATAACGAAGACGAAAACAGGTTCGATAAATCCAAAAATTTGGATTGCGGATTCGAATTCGGATTTTGTTTGAACGGCGACAGATATCTTCAGATAATCGGATATAAATAAAATGACGATTATATATTTGTTATTTAATATATTTTATAATAATTATTAAATATATTTTAAAATTAAATTACAAAAATACTCTAAAGACAATAAAAGTCAACGTTTTTAAAGATTTGGTTATCCTTAGATAATCGAATTCAACGATGGATATCCGACTGCGGATATCTGGACTGCGAACTCCGAATATCCAAAAAAACAAGGTACCCTAACATAAATGTATTCTACCAAGTTTTTTATAAGGAAAAAGGGCCTTCGGTAAAGAGGGGGAGAAAGGCTCACTCCATTATCCAGTCGGTTGACACGTGTCCGATTGGAAACCTTCCAATTTGACGATTTCTGCTTTTGCAAGCAGTTAATTATACCATACTTCTCACCTCACTGTATTACGTACACCCTCAATCCTGACCCTGTCATGTCCCACAAAAGTAAACATCTCTCTCTGATATTATCCATAGCCACTCAGAACTTGCCACGTCATAATCGAGCCCTGATATGACCGAGTTGCCTCCGAAATCGAGCACTCTGTTTTCTTCCTCCTTTTTCAAAACCTCTGCTTCGTCCCCTCTTCCTGTCGCCTTCTTTGAATCCTCGGTCCACAGGGGTTCGAGCTTTTGCTCGATCGAAACCCTGAATCGGCCATGGAAGGAGAGTTTCCAGATTGGGAGATGCTTCAGAGCTCGGACTCTGCCGCGGAGGATCACCCCAGGAGCTTGGAGGAGATTGATGACAGCACACAAGGCGTGATTAGGTTTGATTACTTCTCTCTCGAGAATAATGATGTCCATCGCGGGGATGTGGTTGATGATGAGGACAGTGAAATCGGGTCTGTCTGTTCGGGTAGTCGGAGTTGGATCGAACCTGGCTCTGACCCTCCCTATGGTAAGAAGCATCCTTGCGAGTTCTGGTCGGATTCCAGTAGTGATCCGTCCGAGGATGGCAGATTAGTTGATTTTGGTGTGAATAACGAGTTGGGTCTCGAGTATTCTGGGATAGAAGTGGGTATGTTTGATTTAACGAAATACAGCGACAATCTATCTCGAGATAGGAATCCGAGGCAACATTTGTTCGATTCCAGTGGAGACAAGCTAGGTTCGATGAACACGGGTAATAAAACAGAGGAAAGCGATAGTCTCTATGGTGTTAGTGTGGAACGTCAAGGTGAATCCACGTTTTCAGGTGAACAAATTAGTGGAAATGATCCCCTGGAACTCGCCAAGGTCGGAGAAAGGGAATCATGTAGAAGCAGGCTTCTTTCCATTGACCCATCTGTAAAATCTGGTGATGGGGGAGAGAAAAAAGGCAAAGTGTGGTGGAAAATTCCTTTTGAGCTCTTCAAGTACTGTGTTTTCAGAGTTAACCCTGTTTGGTCTTTCTCCATGGCAGCAGCAGTGGTGGGTTTTGTAATGTTAGGACGCAGATTGTATAAGATGAAGAAGAAGAGCCATAGGTTGCAGCTGAATGTTACTCTGGACGATAAGGTATATTGCTCAGTTAGTTTTGGTTGCTCTGAGTGTTTGATATTTGCCTATATTGATTCCTACAGCTAACACAATGTGGTTGGAGCGCGTACAGTAGCTCCCCGTTTCATGTGGAATGGAAAACATTAATTTATGTTGTCGTCCTGTCCTTGCTTGAAGCTCGTATTGAGATGACATTGACAAGCATAGTGCTCTGTTGGTTATTCGGTTAGATGTCATGTCTGTGTCATGCAGTTTTTGGTGGACAAGTACATAGCCGAGAGCTGATCCTTTAATGGTGGTTGATAAAATTGAATTGTAGTTCCGGGGACCATTAGGCAGAGGGTTTCTCCTTAGTAATCAGTTTACTTGTAGCTTTGGAGAAATCATACCCTACTGAAGACATATTTTGACTGACTCCTTAACCAGGAGAGGAAACAATTGATGCAAGCCCTTTACTTTTCGCTGTTGTATTTTTAGTTTATCATTACTGTTTGAATCGTATAGCTATACGGGTCGATTATGTTGCAAATTGCCGTTGTTGAGGGCCGTTTCATGTAGTCGTTGAGAACTATCGCATTGATATACCTACGTGATCTTCTCCATGAAATTACCTTTGATGATATAAAGTATTTGAGTTCATCTAGTTTATGTTTTCGCAGTTCTGATGTACCGGGTTGATTGCGATAAGTTAAGGGTTGAGTTGAGTTGTTCACCTTTGATCTGTCTTTGATCCGTCTTTATGCAGATCTTCTCTGTCGGGTTTTCTGGCTTTGAATGTTGAAAGTCTTTTGACAGATATGTTATTCATCTATAATGTCATAATTTTGTATTTTGCATCTTCTACTGCTATGAGTAAAGGGTTGACCACTGAGGAGAGCTTATGAACTGAGATTTTCATTTCCATGAGCTGTTATTTTGTCCTCTATTGCTTCAGCATGTATCTGGGTATTGCCTCTTTATCAGGTTTAGCTGTCTCTAATTTAACTAAAGCATCTTTCTCCTAAGGAGAAAAAGAAGTAAATATGGTTTTCATTCTATTGCTATGCTTATGATGATGCTATCTAACATTGTCTGAATTGGCACCTATCTGATGATGTTGCCATGTCTGTAACCGATGTTTTTCAGCAGGCGACGCGGCTCGTGAGCCATGCCGCTAGGCTGAATGAAGCGATTCCGGCGGTGAGACGTGTGCCCATCATCCGACCAGCCCTTCCCTCAATGGCCGTGAACCACCAATGGCCTGTGGTGAGTTTAAGGTGAACAACTTGTATGTGTTGATAAACTGAAGGGAAAAGGGTTCCATATGTTGTGGTGGGGACAACATATTTGAACAGTCAGTGTGTCTAAATGTTTGTTTGTGTTGTGTGAAAAAAAAAAAAGTCAGTCTCAAATCTGTATTACCTTATCCAAAGTCCCAAACTTTTTTTTTTCCAACTTTCAAAATATAAATGTTCTGTGTAAATCAACGTTATATATGCAAAAAGGTATAAATATTTGTCGATGTGGGAGACTTGCTGATGTCAAAATGTTTGGAAATGTGAGAGTTGACACACAAAAACAGATGGTTATTAAAGATATTACATAAAGGGATGTTTGTATGAACTAAGATTATCATTTAATATTTTGATGCATCAAAGCTATGCAAAATTAACAAAACAAAAAAAAAAAGTTCACAGTGTTTTCTGGTTATAGATCAGTTTAATTTCTAAATTCCGTACAAAATGATAAACAATACAAGAGAGTAAGACCCGTGAGCAAATAATAATGGTAACACAAACCATGAACATGTAAAAATGAAAATGTTATTTCTATTCACTCTTAATAATTAAAAAGACAACAAATTTGGTATCTGTTACTTCAGAGGATCTCATTTAAGACAAAACCTCCACATTAATCGTAAGCTTCACGTGGAAGCCAAAACACAGTCGTCCCTTTGGCTCCCCCGAATCTAATCGACCGATGACGTGGCTGTGGATAGGGATAGACTTATTTTGTTAATAACCTGATAATGACCCAAACCCGAATAATATATAACTGTAACGAGATCGAATTAAACATTAAACATAAAATTGAATGATTATATAATTTCTCTAAAACCGAAAAAGCTAATTCCGAACCAAATAATATAAAAACCAAATGATTATAGGTTTTTCAAAATCAAAATAACCGAACGAATAAGTGACCCCTAACTTTGAACTCCAATTTCTTCTCGTTAAATAATTTATGTAAAATATGTACGAATTTGACAATTATGACCCTAACAGTTCTATAGTATACAACCTAATCACACACACCATCTATAATTCTATATATATATACATATATATGGGAGAGGAGAGAGGGATGGGTCCATGTGACCAACATTCAAAAGCACACCATTAATGGAATGGTGAGAGATGTAGAGAGATGCCTTCCCATTGTCCTTTTGCTCTCCACACAGTCTCCACTCCACCATCCCCTCTGACACCTCTCATCAATCCCTAATAATTCCCCCTCCCTCCATTTTCTTGTTCTCTTTCTTTTTTTCTCCTTCAGTACTGTTGAGTAATTATTAGCTCATCATTCATCATATTAGCAAAGTTACCAAGGGAATGTTGTTGGTTTTTTCCTGATAGTGATTTTATCCTTTTCTTTTCTTTTTTTACTATGGCTAGTGACAAAAGTTGTGTAAAGACAAAAAAAAAAGGTGTAAAAATAGTTGTATTAGATGCTATTGGGATTGGACCCCATTTATAAATACCTGCAAGAGGTGAGAGACTCTGAAAGGCCACAATGTGGAGCTTCTTCACTCACAATAATGAGCTCTCTTCATTCAATGATGTGAGCCTCTCTGCCAAATAAACAAAAAACAAAAAATAAAAGGCCAAAGGAGCAACCAAAATCTACAGAGATAGCTTCTCGTTCTCTTCCGACATTCTCAATCACAGTTACATAAGAAGAAACGCCCACACTTCAGAAAGGCTGTAAGGAAAATCAAGAAATCTCCCATGGGAGGCTCCACAAGCAGGCAAGAGAGAAGAAGAATGATACCCACAAGAGCAGAGAATGGTGAGAGAGAGGTGATGATGGCTTTGGCGATGAAGGAGGCGGAAACAGAGTGGAGGAGGGAGAGGAAGAGGCTGAAGGAGGAGGTGAAAAGGCTGAGGAAGAAGGTGGAGGAGACGGAAGAGGCGAAGGGCAAGCAAAGCGAGTGGGAGTGGGTGGTCGAGCAGATGTGTGTGGAGAGACCGGTGAGGGATGAAGCCGTGGAAAGGTGGAAGAAGCTCTACTTAGCTATCAAGAACGAGCTTGATGATCTCATTCAGAGAACTTATGGTAACTCTCTAGGTTCTTTTCAATCTTATTTTGATGCAACAAAAAAAAAGGATGGATCTTTGAACTGGGAAGCTTAATGGGTTTGTAGGAGAAGGGTTGCAACAGAGACCCGAGGAAGATGGAGTAAAGGCAATAGAAGAACTCAGACAGGAACTTAAGGTAAGGGAAGAAACCATTGAGAAGCTCAAAGAGCGGATAACTTTAATGGAGAAGCAACAACATGGAAAAGAGAGAGAAATTGACATACTGAGACAGAGTTTCCGAATCATCAGCAGTGACAGCACAAAGAAGAAGACGAAGAAGAAAAAAGTGTCGTCTACATCTACAAGAAACCTGAAAATAATCAAAAACACATGCGTAGACAGTAAATAACATATTAGTCATCTCAGATTCCTCTTAACGCAGTACAAGAAACAAGCTAAGGACATTGTAATACGTGTCATTCCTATTCCAGGGATATATATATATATAGAGTCACATGTGAAATATTATAGTATTAAGAGAACTCCATGAAAATCCTCAATCAGACATTCAGAGATAAAACCCAACGGACTAATGTGTTTCTTCCTCAAACCGGCTCCCCCAGTCAGTTTTCTTGGGAGTTTCTCAAGTGTTTGTGTAGATACTATCCAATTACACAACAGCAAAACGAAACCAGAAACTGCATAAAAGTTGTAACAATCTTAAAAAAAACTCCAGAATTGGGATAACTTACTTCCACTGCAGCTGCTACGTTGACCATGAAGACAATGGCCCGACCGGAAAAACAGAGATGCTCATAATCCTACAGTATTGACAACAAGCTGAAATTTGTGTAACTTCGAGAAGGGCCTTTTTTTTTTCTCTTGGCTTTGTTCACTGTGATGCTTTCTCCTGCACCCACTGAACAAAAAACGTCGATACCCATGACTCAGAATTTGACGCCAAAGGCACTGACCTGAACTGATAAGGATGATTCTATGAGCTTGTGTCAATGAAGTCTTACTTTCTTTTGATGGACGTTATATTTGGATTTAGAGGTGAAGAACAAAACTTGTGGTGGTAAATCTTCAAAATTCAATAAAAAAAAAACTCAAATGTCAAAAATTATATAACTTTTTAAACTATATTGATTCAACACATTGGTTTTCTCTCTTTTTCAAAACTCAGAGCAAACAACAAAACCAAGAACCACTCTTTTTCCAACAGTTTCTTGTTCATCTTGCTTGATTTTCTCTCTTGAAGAGCTCGAACCAAAGCGTGCACAGGATTTGCGGGGCCCTTTCTATATTCGAAGAACTTTTCATCTCTAAGCTACCAGAAAAAAAAAACAGTGCCTACTACTGGTTGGGGAGCATCACCTCTTCCTGACTATTTTCTTTGCCACTACCATCACTCGCAGCTAGATTTGAAGATGACAAACCGTACCCGTCTCCAGAAAACGAGGATTTGCAATGAAATCCATTCGAGGGAATTTGATGATTCTCGGCAGACAGCCCAACAGGTCCATTAGCGTACGAAACTGCTCTAGCTGAACCCATAAAAGCAAGAGACCAAGAACGGTTCATAAGCACAAGCCAGAAGGATTGTGCATCCTCTGTAGAACACATCTACTTTATAAGGCCAACAGATTACTCAAATGCCCAAATGCTGAGCAAAAAGGGAAGAAAAATCAAAAGCTTGGTATATAATCTCATTGTTAGATTACGAGACGTATATCAGTAAATCAATGTACCGTTGAAAATTCAAAACGCTTGGTCTGTCGAAATTCAAAGTAGAATACAGAATCCGAGGGGGGCAGGGGCCATTTACCTTACGCCTTCCAGCGTCAGCGAGCTCCTGCTTCCGATAACTCGGAGAAACCCGAGCTGACGCCATTGAAAGACCCTAGATGCTTGAATTCAGAACCCTCGAATCACCATTGAACCCGAGAAGCCAAAAGAACAGCTATGTCCCTTTTTACTGTCCGGAAATCCTAATTAATCAACGAAACCACCGAATTTCGGCAATGAAAACTAGGGTTCCTCCGAACTGATCGAAGAAGAGGAACGGAGAAACATCTTCGCTCTCGCAAATTAAAATTACGAATTTATGTCTTCTTGCTCTTATTTTCTGCTAATATTTTCTTTTTTCTTTTTTCTCTTTTTCTTTTTGTGGGTTTTTTAATATGACTTACCTCACACCTATTTCACGTCTACACCAAAAAAAACATAACAAATTATCGTTAATGAATACACGATTTTTATCCGTTCAAAAACAACTTCATTATTACGACTAATTAATTCTAAATATAGTTACAATTGATTCTAAAAAAGGTGGAAAAAAATCATCTATCTTATTTTAGTGGTATATCAGTTATATGTTAGTCGTAATAAAGACAAAAAAATAAAAAGAAAAGGGTATTTCGGACTTTTTCAACCGAAAAGTGGGTTAAAATTGAAATATTTTTTTTTTCGGTGGTGTACGCTGAAATAGATGCGACCCAAGTGGGTTATTTGAGTAAAATTCCCCTTTTTCTGATGATCTAAAATAATTATTTGTTAATTAGAGTGTTAAATAATTAATTCGAAATTAGGTAGGTAATTGCGGATTAATGAATGAAGATTAACAATTATAGTTAGAATCGGCTTATTAGATCCAAAATTATCAATACACATGACAAAAGCTGCCTTTTCATGTACACAAGGGGCCATCCCATCCAAAATGTTTAGCTAATTTACTATTAATTCTATTCAAAAAGCATATTGCTTTCTTTTGCTAAAATCTAAGCTATGTTTTTGTAAATAAAAAAAAATGAAGATTTTGGTTTTTAGATGATTTTTTCACTAGTAGTTTTAAATTTACAAAATCTTGATTTTATATAAAAAAAAAACTCTAAAAACTCTTGATCTTGTCAAAAAAAAAAATTGGTAAAGATCTTGTCAATTTTTTTTTATATTTTAATTTCTAAAAACTTTGTCTACTCAACCCTAAATTATACTAATTTTAGCTGATTTTTTATTAAAAATAAACTGTTAATATTTGATCTTCGTTGGCAATTTCTCCATCATACATTACATTACCATTTTCAGATTAAAAGTTTTCGACTTTTCCTAGGTGGGTTATGTAGTAATTATTTTCTTTGGCGATTAGCTCATTCTAATCATAATTAAAACCTAAACCACCAAAGATGAGTTCAGTCACACCAATGACAGGAGAAGAGAGAAGACAAAAACACATCCAAGAACAAAACAGATGCAACCTCCCCACTTCAACTGCTTCACAATCTCCTTGCTATTTAAAGAGCAATTCCACAATCCAAGATCCTCATCCTCAGCTATCAGTTCCTGCAAAAGAAAACGATCTTCAAGATGATAAAGAGATCACGGGTTTTGCTTTCCTCTGCAATCTTGTTCACAGTTGCCGTTTTCACGGCAACATCTGCGGCAGCAGTTGATCCCGCGCCAGAACCTGTTTTCGAGCTGTATATGCACGATATACTCGGGGGAAGCAGTCCTACAGCGAGACCCATCACGGGTCTGCTCGGGAATATCTACAACGGTCAAGTACCCTTTGCTAAGCAGGCCGCGAGGTGGGCCCACGCGCCGCCGCTCGATTTGCTTGGCTCCGATTTCGCTTCCATTCTCAATAGAAAAAAAAAAGAGAACTTTACTCGTGTTTTCGAATGTATAAGAAACCTGGTTTACCTTTGATTACATGCAATAACCGGGTATTCGTATCGGTTTATTGCTTAACCGAATAATCCAAGTGAACCGAAATCATTTCGTTCCCGGTTTACATGGTGGAGTAATTCGGCGGCGGCGCGTGAGGTTAAAGTTTGGATCTTTTACAGAGAAAGCAACTACAGCTTTAGAACCATTACTGTAATAAAATTCGTTTCTTTCTGCATCATTTGAGACACGGAGAATCTGAAATTTCTAAACTTTGGAACCGGAAAGAACCATTACTGTAATAAAAATCGTTTCTTTCTACATCATCTGATACACGGAGAATCTGAAATTTCTCAACTTTGAAACTGGAAACGAAAACTACTCTTCCGACAGTTAATGGCCTCAACGGTGTGCCCTTGGGAACTGGCTTGTCTGGTACAGCCTTTTCCGGAAACTCTGGTCAGAACCCTAACGGGATTCTGACACAATTGGGTCCCGATGGTCTTAGCCTTGGGTTTGGCACGATCACTGTGATCGATGATATACTAACTTCCGGTCCTGACTTGGGTTCTCAGCCGCTCGGTAAGGCACAGGGAGTCTATGTGGCCAGCTCTGCAGACGGGTCCACCCAGATGATGGCATTCACAGCTATGTTGGAAGGTGGAGAGTACAATGACAACCTCAACTTCTATGGAGTCTACAGAATTGGAAGTGCCATGTCGCATCTCTCCGTGACAGGCGGGACGGGCAGATTCAAGAACGCTTGCGGGTTTGCTGAGATTCGGCCATTAATCCCGCCTGGTCAGCACGTCATAGATGGAGCAGAATCTCTCCTGAGGATCATCGTCCATCTGAAATACTGAAAACAAAATGTGTATTCCCAAGAAAAAAAAAAGATTTCAACTTTGTGCATGTGTGTGTGTGTTTGAATGTGTGTTCTGCATGTATGAATGAGGAAGTTTCATTATTGTTAATGCTACTGCAACTGGTTGAAGTATTTCAGTGAAGTAATGACTACCAAACTTTCATCAGTAGAGACATATCTAACCATTGCTAAAGCCTAAAGGCTAATGCAGCAATCACCAAAAACAAGTATCAATCTTGCAAGCAAACCAGAGGCCACACAACACGTCTTATGGCCAAACAGTACATAATCAGATTACTGATCGTAGGGGAGGAATCACGGGCGAAAATGTTATCCAGCCAACAGAATCTCAATGCAGTAAAATCTAATCAAGGTTTTGACATGGTTTGCCAAGATACGATAATAGAATAAGAAATTGACCAAGCAACAGATCAATAATAGCCGAAACATAAAAGCGAATATCAGTAGACAACCAGCCAGACCAGAACAATAATACCCTTTCGACCATCAAAAACCGATCCCTTCCCCGCTTTTATTCCTATATAATCCACTTCCATTTACCTCTTAGAGCAGCCACAAGGAAATTCCAGAATCCCTACAGCTAGACGTTAAAGAGGAATGTCATTTACAAAGCCCACATATTGGAACTGATAAGCATTACTCCAACTTCACGATATTGGCATGGTTAAGCACAGTGGTTTCGTCCAATCCATAAAGGCAGTCTATCAAATGCATTCTCAAGGAAGCTGGACCTTTTGCCATGGCTTCTCCCAACTCGCCAGCGATCCCAAAGATAGATAGAGCTGAAACTGTAGCTTCCAGTGCTTGTGATGGATCAATGGCAACAAATGCTGCGACCAGAGCAGCCAGAGAACATCCAGTTGCAGTGATCTTTTGCAACATGGCTGTCCCGTTATGAACTCCTATTACCTGATTTCCATTGGTAACGATATCAACAGCTCCTGAGACTGCAACTACTGCACCACTTTTCCTGGCCAATGATTTTGCAGCTTCAATGGCGTCTGTAGATTCATGGAAGCTATCTGCACCCTGCAGATTTCAGCATCGAGAAAACCCTTCAATTTTTTCTTCAAAACATGTGCAGAAATCCAGAAATTAACTATCATTGGAGCTTGATCATCAGAATTCCAGAATCAAGATCAAAACTTTCGACACCTGAAACTTGTAACATCTGGGTTCGACCCTTGTGTTACACATACATCAATATACAACCAAAATGAACCATAATACCTTGGCCTGACCCAAAGAAGCCGCAGAAAGAGCGATAATCTCGGACCCATTTCCTTTGATAACAGTAGGCTTAAGCTCTACCAGCTCCAAACACGCATTTAACCTGAAATTCGAACAACCAATGGCAACTGGGTCGAGAACCCATGGTTTCCCAAGCCGAGTCGCGATTCCTACGGCGGACTTCATGGACGTAACCCAGTCCGGCGTAAGCGTCCCGACGTTGATGCAAAGCGCGTCGACATGAGGCGTGAAGTCGGAGGTCTCGGCGACGGAATGAACCATCGCTGGAGAAGCGCCGGCGGCCAAAAGGGTGTTCGCGGCGAGATCCATGGAGACGAAGTTGGTAATGCACTGCACCAATGGTGACCGTCTCCGGACGGCCGCGAGGTGGGCCCACGCGCCGCCGCTCGATTTGCTTGGCTCCGATTTCGCTTCCATTCTCAATAGAAAAAAAAAAGAGAACTTTACTCGTGTTTTCGAATGTATAAGAAACCTGGTTTACCTTTGATTACATGCAATAACCGGGTATTCGTATCGGTTTATTGCTTAACCGAATAATCCAAGTGAACCGAAATCATTTCGTTCCCGGTTTACATGGTGGAGTAATTCGGCGGCGGCGCGTGAGGTTAAAGTTTGGATCTTTTACAGAGAAAGCAACTACAGCTTTAGAACCATTACTGTAATAAAATTCGTTTCTTTCTGCATCATTTGAGACACGGAGAATCTGAAATTTCTAAACTTTGGAACCGGAAAGAACCATTACTGTAATAAAAATCGTTTCTTTCTACATCATCTGATACACGGAGAATCTGAAATTTCTCAACTTTGAAACTGGAAACGAAAACTACAGATGGGTTTTGCTCATAGCTCATGTTCAGGACAGATGTATAACTAAAAGGGAAGAACGAACTCCGCCTGAGCTTTCTCCTCTGTTATCATCATCACTGTGAAGAAGGGTTGTTACTTCAGAAGAATCCAAAGAATGTGGCCGCTGCAAAACCAAGGAACAGAGCTCCTCCCAAGTAACCCACCTGCAAGGGAAAAACAGATGGCGAAATTTCTCGGTGATGGTTCGTGTATGGAATTTGAGAGAGATGGATGGACGGGGAAAATCGATCCTTACAAGTTTCTCAGAGATGTAGTTTGCGAGGAAAGCTCCGCCCACAACTGCCAGAGCCGTCGCCAAGAAGTGTCCGGCTATAGCTCCACCCGCAACTCCCCACGCAGACTGTGCAGCCCCGAGGGCGATGGTAGCGAGCATTGACCGGTCTCCCCATTCCTGAAAATACTCCAAAGACCGATAATCTTTTACGAATATAGATCAAACCGTGTTAACACGAGCAAAAAAAAAGTGGTTTCTTACAGCGAAAAACACGAGACTGAATGACTTCCAGAGGATTTCAAACGGGTTTGAGAGCCTCTTCGAAACCTGAAAATCATAATCGTGACCGAGAATTTTCGTTTGGAATCTCCAGAAGAGATGGAAATTATGAAAGAAAGTGGTGAGAAATTCCTTTGAAAAACCTTTTCTTTGACGAGTTCCTCAGCTTCGACGAATTCATCAAGTTCCTGACCGCCTTTCTTGCCGTTCTTAGCCTCTGCCGGCGGAATATCCCATGCATCTTTAATAGATTTCAGACCAAAGAACACAAGAAGTGCAACAGCAGCATATTCTCCTATTGGCAATGCTGTTCCCAAAAAAGAAATGGAGAGTAAGGCATCAAGACAGTACTGAAACTCCGTTAAAATGGCAAATTCTGCTCCGGGCGAAAGGCTAAGCCTCGAGATATAAAAGAAAATGAAGAAATGCTGAGAAGATTTACTCGTTTGGAACTGAGCAGGAACAGATTGAAATATCTTCCCGATAACAACTGACAAGACAGTCATAAGAGATAAAGCTCCCATGGAACCTAGAAGAACCTTGTCAAAAAAAAAAAAAACAAATCCATGGTCACTGACATCAGTTTTTGCCAAATCAAGATGTTAAGACAAGATTGTGTATGTACAGTCAAATTATAAGACAAAACCACAATGCAGGCAGACATAAATGCAACAGATTTTCTTTCCACAATTTCAACGATCTCATTTACTTATTTTTCCCACACCTCCATTCCATTTTGCTTTGTATCAACTTCAGGGAAAGATCATGTAGGTTTTTGTTTATAAAGTAAGGTTGACAATGAAGACATAACAGAGAGATCATAGATTGTCTTCAGCAATCTACAGACAGACATACACGGAGAGAGAGAGAGAGAGATGTTAGAACATATTGTACCAGAGTTTTCTCGTACTGCATGGCCAACAAAGCAGCAATAAAAAATGTCTGAAAAAAGAAACCATGTATGAGACCACAGTCCAAGATAAGAAGCAAAGATTAGAATCGGTATATGCAATTATATAGAAAGAAAAACTCATTCGAACCATAGTGTGATCCAGCATTCGGTTAATATAACAGATTTATGCTGTAAAATAACATTTCAGCACCTTGTCTCCGATCTCAGAAACAAATATCAGCGAGAAGGCGGCTGTAAATCCAGACTTTGCTACAGCAGCTAGAACTGAAGATGGCCCTCCCTTCACAAATGCGATGATCGAAAAGACTAAACCACAACTTATTAGGACAAGAGCTACAGATAAAGGGTAAGGGATCCATCCAGGAGGCTTTAACCTGCAAGAGAGCGATGAATATAGAAGCATAGATGATTAGAGAGAATTCATCATTTTCCCTGTTAACAAAAAAAAAAGAAAAAAGAAAACAGCAATGGAAAGTTGACTACTCACTTCTGAAATGAGCTATCGTGGGATTGATCGCCGATGGAACTGCTCTGAGGTCCATCTTCCTCACCACCATAGCTGCCGGAGCCAACACCAGAATTCGAGGCATGAACTCTGAATTTGCAGGAGAAAGTTTCCGATATCGGTCTTCCTCTACATCTTACTGCAAATTAGACGGTAAGTGGGAAAGCATCTTCACTCGAAAAACCCCCCATCGTATGACAAAAATAGTAAAGTATCAACTCGAGGATTCGGTACAATGATTACATTAGCCCACAAAAGCAGGCCGAGAAAGCTGGAATTGTTTACGTATTTGGGGTTTACCGGCTAAAGAAGAACAACTTCCATCGAGGTTAACATCTCATACGATGGAGTCTAATGATCTGCTGAATCTAGCAAACGTCCAAAAGAGGCGAAAACCAAGCAAATTTTCTAGCCCATATGAACAACAAGTACAAATACAGAGCTCCTTAATCTGGGTTTCATGAGATACATAATCCACAGTTTGGTAAATATAGGAGCAACAGAACAATCTACAACTCTGTTTCGATTCCGTAAACCCCTAAATCGAACCCTTTATTCGGGAAAAAAGAAGAAGATAAGAATCGACCCTTGCTGTAATCCCAGGGGAAGTGAACCACTTACAAGGATGAAACCTGGGTTTGATCGAAGGGTATGGACAAGACAAGGAATCAATCACAGACAACAATGGAGGTTTCTGTCCCGAAGGCACAACAGCTACTACTCCGCAACGACCGCCGCTGCTAACTCCGACTACACCCATGCTTTTGTCTGATCCACGGGAAGGGGAAGTAGATAAACTCAGTGACTCATTGCTTGCGAATTATCCGAAACCCAGAAACCAAAAATTCGGAGAATTTCTCGATTGTTTCTCTTCTGATTGTTGTTTGGTGTTTAGCAAAGATCGGGAACTGAATTTGCTGATGATGGAGATAGGATTTGAATCTGCTCTCTTCTGTGTTCTGTCTCGAATCAGGGGCGTTGTCTCTGGATCTGCCACGTGTCTTGCGCCATAGATAGATTTGTACAGAGGCTACAAGCCAAAAACGACGTCGTATGAAAATGTTACGGAAAATAATATTATTTTCATACCGAAACTATAATTTTTTGAACAACATGTTACACGTTATAATAGTACATTCAAAACATCATTATTATACATTTATATTTATATTATTGCCAAATGTTATAAATTTTTTTAAAAAAAAATAGAATAACGTGAAAATGAAGTGTTTAGGATAATAAGAGAATATAATTTTTCTAACCTGTGTATATAAAAATCGAGAGTTACTTTATAAACACTAAATCGGCATATTAATAAATATTAGAGATGCACTTCACCATAAATATTTTATTTATAACACCAAAATCTTTTAAACTTTAACTTATTACATTAAATTACAAAACTCTAATCTCTAGACCACCATAACCGGTTTGTCTACCGTGGTAAACCGGACTCGTACTCAGTTCTAAAGAACATAATCAAGGATTGGCAAGGGCCTGCTGCACTACCCGATCTCACCACTGAACCATAAGAGTCCAGCCAATGAGCCGTCGACGTTGGTCATGGCTCGAGCTAACCGAGCCATAAGGATTCACCTGGTTCGAACTCGAGGCAACACAACACACCTGGTTCGGGCCATGGCTACCAGAACTTATACACAAAACAATATGATCAGCTCATCAAACTTACTGAACTAAGACACCTGGTTCGGACTTTTTTATTGTGTCGTAACGCTCTTCGCAAGGTTCCTCGGTTGGTCCACATTGTGACCTCGAAGGACCGTGAGATGGTACGCCAATAACTGCGCCACGAGACGATATATCACACCTCGTGAGCAATAAAGAAAGTATTCACGAAAAGATGAAAACTCGTAAGTATATCGACCTGTAACGGGACGATGTTAACAACGGGTTGGAGACAGTCTTCGACTCGAGGGACTTCAATGGCTCGATACGATCCACTCGGGCAGACGGAAGCAGCATCTCCCTTTGAGCATATCACTATTAGCCGTCCCTTCCTCGCATGGAGCTGCTGAATTACCGATTGTTGTTTGCTGTCAACAAAAAAAAGTAGATGATGTTTGAGATTATTAACACTCGGAAGATACGAATCTCGGAAGAAGTTGTTCGACCTGAAGGAATTATCCCGAGTAGCAATCACGACGATGGGGAGATTCTCGTCGACCAGAGCCAGAGGGCCGTGTTTCATTTCGCCCGCAAGCATGCCTTCACTGTGCATAAGTGCGACCTCCTTCACTTTCAACGCCCCTTCTAAAGCCGTGGCATAGTTATATCCTCTGCCGAATACGAGAAGCGACTGCTCGTCTATCAGCGACTTCGCGAGTTCCTTCATTTCTCCATCTAGCTTCAGCACTTCCCTCACTTTATCTGCCACGAAACGAAAACCGAATTCCAATCACGGAAAAACCATAAAAAAGGTAAACGTAACACTATTTACTCGACTTACTAGGTAAGTCGAATAAGCTCTCGATTATGGCTTCCCGTCTCGTCTGGCTGGAAATGGTGTCGCCTCCGATAGCTAGCCCTACCATAACCATCACTATAATCTGACTTGTATATGCCTAACATCGAATTGGAAGCAGATTTTACCTTACCTCGGAATCTAAAAATCGTGAGAATGGTAGCAAAGTTATTATCATTACCTTTGTGCTTGCAACACCGATTTCCGCTCCGGCGTTTATGTGGACACCGCAGTGTGTGTTTCTAGCGATTGCACTCCCGACAGTGTTGGTTATTCCGACGCATAACGCGCCGTTTTCGCGAGCATATTCCAGGGCGAGTAATGTATCTGCAGTTTCACCAGACTGACTGACAAAAACTGCAGTATCCTCCCTGTATATTGGACCTTGCCGGTCCAACAAATCGCTAGCGATTTCCATGCTGACGGGAATGCCTGTAACCGAAAATCTAACTCAGCAGAAGTTTATTTTAAATTGTGATAACGGATTCGCCAAATGGTTAGCAGAAAATTACCAGAGAGTTCTTCGAGGATGGGCCTCGATGCAAGAGCAGCGTTGTAACTTGTCCCACATCCGATAAAAACTATGCGTCGGCTGCGTCTTATGGTTTTGAGGTGATCTTTCAAACCGCCGAGGAGGACGGTTTTTGCCTTGCAAGAACCGCCCCGTATAAGCCTTCCCCTCATCGTGGTCGTCAAAGATTCTGGCTGTTCGTGGATTTCTTTCTGCATATAGTGCTCGTATTTTCCCTTGTTGATTTGCTCTACCTCCATCTCTAGAACAGATAACGCACGTTCAACCGAAGCGGGTCTAGATAAACCGCCATGTCTTCCCTTCTCATTCTCAAACTTGAGGACTGATACTCCTCCATCCTGTTAATTGCAGTTGAACATAAGCAAGCGTTATGACTTGCATATGTTTTCAAGATTGATCATTCTCAGATTTAATCTAGATGAGAAATCAATTAGTTGGAAAATGGCTGAGGACAAAGTACGAATTGAAAAAATCTTGAACGATAATGCAAATCTCTAACCTTGAGGTGAACGACCTCACCATCTTCAATCACCAGAACTTTCTTTGTGTGCTCGACGAGAGCATGGGCATCACTCGACAGGAAAAGCTCTTTAGGATGCTCGCTCTTGGAAATGGAGTGGGAGTCTTGGAAAACGTCATCGCTGTCCCTGTCTTGAGCTAGCTCCTGACAAAGCATCGCAAAAGACAAGCCTTTCATTCGGAGAAACATATGTCTCCACACAAAGAAAATCTTCAGTTAAATAACAGCCCGAATCTTCTCTTTAGTTTAGATTAACAAAAGATTTTCCTGTGGAGTAAACTCTGCTCCTATTCTCGGCTGTAAATCTTGAAATAAAAGTTATAAGAAGAATCAACAACTGGATCGAGACCTCGAATTTCTACCAAATACACACAAAAAACATGAATAATATATATGTACTTGTCCAGATATAGATGGAGCCTTGCTTTCTTGTAAATATCCACCTCCCGGCCACGGAAGATTTGTACTTTTTCACTATATATATTTTTACGTTTTAAAGGGCTTGATACAAACTAACTGATTTAATGATCATGTAATAATTCATCGAGCACATTGAAACAGTCTAAACATGAATCTAGTCACCTACTTTAACACCCAAAAGGAGCGGGCTGCCACGCTTGCACGCAATTAACTCGTTTGGATAGTGGTGGCTTTTAAAGATAAGAGCATAAGCTCCCTCGAGATGTCTCATCACTTCAAAGACAACTTGACAGAATGTTACCGTCTGTTCACCTGCAAAGCATAAGATATCATATAACTCTCCAATAAAATAGATGCGTCGGAAAGGAACTACACGGACAAAAAATGAACCAGAAAATTACTTGACTCATCACACAGAATCCACCAAATTTGATGTCTTCTCTAAAAATTATAAAACACACACTTTGTAAAATCTCATTATATGTCACTGCAATCTGAACATATGAATAGAAAACCCACATCATATGTTGAAGAAATGGAGAAACTAATAGGCAACTCTCATCTACAGTTGTATTACCTTCTACACTAGCATTGTCAAAAACAAATTTGGCAAGCTTGGGAATAACTTCTGTATCTGTTTCTGATTCAAATGTGAATCCATGCCGAACTAGTGTCTCTTTCAATACCTAAAACAAAATGATTGACGTTTCATCGTCAGACACACCTCGCCAAAATCAAAATGAGAGACCCGATGCAAGAAGAGAAGAAAAAAAAACTTATAAACAGGCCTTCAAAAGCAAACGAATTGAACCAGACCTCGTAATTTGTGATCACGCCATTGTGAACGACCAGGAAATCGTCCCCAGGACCAGACGACTGAGGATGGCTATTCCTTGGAGCCGGTTCACCGTGAGTAGCCCACCTGGTGTGTGCAATCCCAGCGTGAGAATGGAAAACTTCTTCCAAATTTACATCTGTATCTGCAATCTCTGTACGGAGGAAACGACGAAAAATAGTTTGTCAAGATAAACACCATAAACACGCACAACTCTCACAAACCGGTAGGGCAGATCAACCGAGTAGAGAAATGCCGCTAGCAAGACATTAGTGTTGCTTCTGAGTTGATCAGAAACAGATCGTATAACAGGAATAGATCGATATAACAGATCAAACATACAAAAGGAATAATCAAAGCAATGGTCACGCTGCATCATTTATTATGGCAAATGAGCAGAATTCTGGAAGACTAAGTCTTTTCACCCAAACTGGAAACAGGGTCAGAATCTATCCTACCTTCCTGCTTGTTTTTACTACTCCATCAAATAAGCTAACCCATGACCATTTTCACCCAACAGGGAAATCAAAAAAGTTGAAAAAAAATGTTTTGGGAACTTGAGGACAACAGAGACAAAAGGTTTTAACTTTCAATCAAAATTAGAGTTCTGCGTTAGATCTCTGAAAATTAAGTTCATTTCCAGCAAGAAATTCGCTCAACGAGATGCTGCATAATCTCATCTACAATTCCAAAATACCAAAACGACATGGACATTAGGTAGAGAAATCTACCAGAAAAGGAAACTACAAATCGAAATGTCTCTCAAGCGGCGGGAATCATACAGAGGCCACTTCCAGATCAAAATCAGATCCAAACACACGGAAAAAAAAACGACGAAGACAGAGACAGACAAACCTAGGTAAACAGATTTGACGAGAGACTCGATGTTGCCTGCTTGACGAAACAGGAGCGGAGGAGGGGAGAAGCAGTGATTGGATGTGTTTGGATGGCGAGAAAGCGAATCATCAATGGCGATGCCGGCGGAATCGTAGCCTCTGTACTCGAGACGACGAAGGCCATTGAGGAGAACCTGAAGAATGTACCGTCTCTCTCTCTCCACGTTGAAATTCAAATACGCAAATATCCCACACATTCTCTCTCTCTCTCTCTCTCTCTCTCTCTCTCTCTCTCTCTCTCTCTCTGCAGATGTTTTCAAGACGAGGGAACAGAGGAAGGAAGGAAAGCAATCCGGATTCTAATTTTGACCGTGACGAAGACTGGGGATAACTGTAATTTCGCTGAACACTTGGGGGTACTTTCGTCTATTCTTATTGTGTCAGGCTATGCAACATGGCGCGTTTCGATTGGTTAGCGGGAAGGATGGGACCCACATAAGCTTCACGTGAACCGCCGCGAGCGGCCGCGCCTGAATCGCGTCGTGATGAACCGGTGATCAAAAGTTCGGTTTTGTCCTCGTAGTTGGGCTAAATTACAAAGGACACCTTGGATATTAAATTTCCATATTATATATATTTGAGGCAAACGCTAAAATATATATACACACATAACCTTAACCGAATTAATTTATATATTTATAAATCATAATATATTGTTTTCATGGTATAATTTGACTTGTAATCTGAATTATTTTATAGATATTTCATGATATTATCAATATTTCAATCACATTTTGTAATGTATAGTTTATATATACTTTGATGGGTTAATCGAACCATAAGTTAAGATTATCTACTAAATTAGGAGCTAAACCGTTAATTTAAACCGATAACCAGAAAAAAAACAACGCCGACAAACGAACTACAAAAGCAACAAACACAACAAAAGACGCAAACGAACAGTAACACATGCATGCATGCATGCATGCCCTAAAACACAAACACCGAAACACTTAATTATTCCTAAACACCGACCATAACGATTCATTAATTATAACCATAATAATCTCAAGGAAGCGGTAACACCCCGCCGGAGCTCGGAACTCCGCCTGCGCCGCCGGACGCCCCACCACCAGCAACTCCGCCGGGGAATCCAAGTCCACCGCCAAATCCGGCCGCCCCGCCAAGACCTCCACCGAGCAACGGCATCCCTCCAGCGCCGCCTCCGAGCAATGGCATCCCCCCGCCGCCGCCGGGCATTCCCATGAACCCGCCGACTCCGGCGGCGCCGCCAATTCCAGCGCCGTAGATGAAGTTTTTCCGGTCGTCGACATGGCCGGAGCTACTCGGCGGCTCTGCTTTCGGCGCGGCGGCGGAGCCACCGTGAATAGGCAGAGGCTGATAACGTTGCGTGTCTTTTTCAGCAACGGTCCACGTATTATCATCGCCATGCAGGTTACGTGCGCTGACGAAGAGAACGGACAAGACGAGCGCAAGAACAGTGATTGAGAATTTCACGTCCATTTTCATGGCAAGGAATTCGAGATCTTGGATGTAGGGTTTTGTAGGGTTTTGAGAGTGGGTTGTATTATATAGGAGAAATAGGGAGAAGATACAGTTGAAGATAATAAATATTGGACCAATTGAAATCGACGAAGAGACCGTTGTGTGTTCTGACTAGTAATCTTTGGTAATGGCAGTTTTCCTTGATGCTTTATACGGGGAAACGGTGATGCTCTTTTAATGCGTTTGATAATGGGTAATTAAATTAAATTAAATTAATTAGTTTGGGTTACAAAAAAAATAATTAGTTTCTCATTCTATCAAATATTATTCCCTCTCTCAATATATATATATATATATATATATATATATATATATATATATATATAATAGATCCTCAATTTGCTCTATATAGATAAAGGCTTATAAAAAAGATAGTTAACTATAGGGGTGGTCATTTCGGTTATTAACCGAATAACCGAATCGAACTGAATAAGAGTGGTTCGGTTCGGTTCGTTTAATAACCGAACGGTTGAGGAAGTTGAATAGTCGTTCGGATTCGATTCGGTTCGGTTAATAACCGAATAACCGTGGTTAACCGAACGGTTATTAGATTTTTTAATGTTTTAACTTTTAACCTCATTATTATTAATGGTTTTTTTATAGTTCAGTTTTATCCTTATATATTTCACCCAATAAACTATAAAATTTAATATTTTTAACTTTTATCCTAGTTATTGAAGTTTTTGTAGATTTTTTAATAACTTTTTTGGATGATTAATCATTTTGTGGATTTATTTGGATAGATATTTTAAAGTTTGTATAGGATTAATATTTTTTTTTTAAATACGTCATAACCGAACCGAACCGATCTAAAATCGAACCGAATAATTAAGCCGAAAAATTTAATCATTTTGTTATCATTTTATTATGCAAAAACCGATCTGAACCAAACCGAAACCGAACCGAACCGATTAAATCTATATAACTGTTTGGATATGATTTTTTTATACCCGAAATAACCGAACCTGAAATAACCGAACCGAAAACCGAAATGGTCACTCTAGTTGACTATATTCCATCCGTTTTTTGATAAACGACGTTTTAATTTTTTTTTATCAATTTTTAAAGATATATAAAAAATTATATATATTTTTATTTAATATTTAAAATATAGGAGTTGAATGGGAACGTGCTTTCGAAGTTTTTGGATTTTAAAAATTTTAAAAAATGATATTCAAGTTTTTTAAAATTTAGTTTTTCTAAAAATTCAAAAATCTACTTTATGAAAAAAACAATTAAAAACCAAAAGTCACAAATTTTTTAGTTTTACAAACTTATGAAATCCAAAAACCAAAAACCCAAAATTAAAACAAAAAACCAAACTATCAAAGCCATAATTAATAGTTTATTGGAATGGAATAGTTTTAATTAAAGGTAAAATTGTGAGTTATTTTTAAAAATAACTAGAAAATCTAAAATACAGTTTATAACAAGATAGCTAAATTATTGATAAAAGAGAGAGATTCTTATATTATATTGAAATTTTGGGAATAGAAAAAAAAATCAAGTTTCTGTTGATTTAAGAGAAATGCAAATAAAATTTAGATATACTAAACAAGATGAAGATGGAAACCAATAGAATGTTAAAAACCAAATAAAATTATAAATATAAAAAAAATTGTTTTTTTATAATGTAATATATACATTTCTTTTGTTTTTTTATACCGGCCCGGCATAGTTTGAGATATTTTTTTCTCTCTTATAAAATTTGAAACGAACAAAATATATTAGCTTCAAAATTTCTAATACGTTTTTATTTTTCTATTTTATTTTCTACGAGTTTCTATTGGTCAGTTTTTTTTTTTTTTTGGTTGAAAAGACTTTTTTACTACAGCTTTGACCTTTTTCTTCTTCTCATTAAACATAACCCAATTTCCCATGTGCTTTTTCTGGGCCGGTCGGATCTGAGCCAATTTCAGAAAAATAGTATTTGGTCCTTTTTCCAAAAGTATAATCGACGCCACAACAAACAATATTAAATGATATTTAAAAAAAATACTGCATAATAATCACCATTTTCCATGTATTGCTTACGTGATCGCCATTTTTCTATACCCTAAACATGAAAATAACTTCCTCTCAATAGGTTATAGGTAATATATTTTGTTATTTAATAGATATCATTTTAAATATTTTAGATAATTTTTTAAAATATTTTTCAGATTTATCCTTAATCAAAACTATTAAATTTCAATGAAATATTTAATAAAAATTTAAAATCAAGGTATATATGATTTTTATATATTATTTAAAAAAAATTGCAAAAAAAGTTAAAACATCATATATTGATGTCAGTTTATAGTTGAATATCGTTTAGGATATTTCGTAGTCAATCCAAAAAAAAACCTGGATCGAGTATTTTATGTTTAATATAAGTGTATATTTTGGTTTATTCCATATATATATATATATATATACAGGAATATATATATTTATATTATAATGTTTAGTTTGAATTTATGGAATCGAAAATGAAAATTTCAAGCATACTAATAAATGTTACTATTTAAAATATTAACAGACATGGAACTACAATGGAAGTTACATTAGTGACTTAATTTAGATCGAATGTCCCAAAATTGAAATGTGGTTGACATCAAACTATTTACTAATTAGTGATAATATAAGGTCTGATTTCAACATTGTGGGAATGTATAACTAAATGGGCTTCGCAAAGGCAAAAGTATAATGGGTCTGCCTAAAACCCGACAGGCCCATAACGATAGAAGGCCCATTTTAAAATTGTAGGCCCATATTGATATCCTTTCACAAAATGTTCTCTTGTCAAAAATCGAATTGGGAGCGATTCGAAATTCTGGGAGCAGCAATGGCGGCGAGAGCGGCGGCGGGAGGGATGATGCTGCCGCGAGCAGTGACATTCGTGACGGGAAACGCCAAGAAGCTAGAAGAGGTCAAAGCAATTCTGGGAAATTCCATCCCTCTCAAGTCTCTCAAACTCGATCGTGTGTGCCCATTTCGATTCTTCCCATCAATATCCTCCCTTTCTTCCTGTTGTTTTTGTTTTCCCGTTCTTATCTGATCTATATCGTTTCTGGGTGTTCGTTTTGTTTTTTGCAGTGCCTGAATTGCAAGGTGAGCCTGAGGAGATCTCCAAAGAGAAGGCTCGTTTGGCAGCTATTCAGGTGTTCTTAATCTTGCACTTGATCTTCCATTGCAAGCTTTAACTTGTTTTACTTGTTAGTATGTTCTAATTGAGCAAATTCACTTCTCGTTATCGAGTAGATTGTCGATGTTTAGACATTGATGCTTGTATCAGTGTATAATGGTTGAGGAAGTCATGTATGAAATATAACTGTGTGCTGCTGATATCGTGAAGGTAAACGGACCGGTAATAGTGGAGGATACATGTCTCTGTTTCAATGCTCTGAAGGGTCTTCCTGGTATGGGTCTTAAGTTTCTTGAACATATAAATGTTTCAGTTGAGGTCAATCAGATTCTCAGACAGCGTTATGATTTGTTTTTATGTGTTTTCTTGGGCTATTGCAGGGCCATATATGTAAGCTTTTCTTCCTTTCATTCGTCTCAAGGCTGTCTTTGTAAGTTTTTATATCCAATCATTCATTTCTATGTATAGGTGTAATCTCTCTTGCCTCGCGGCAATTCTATGAAGCTCTACTGACTTGTTGTTTTCTTTTGTTCTTTTTAGAAATCATTGTAACTGGATAGGTACATTCTGATTATGGATTATTGAATTTTTTTTTACAGCATGTTCTTATCCTAGATGTTTTGCGGAAGGGGCAGTGTTTATTTGCATTTTATCAACTATCATTATCATTGTCTCTCAAGAATCAGGGACTAGGAATTAGGAATCAGGCTAAGTTTTCTCGGGATCACACTGTTGTAAATACTAGATGGAATCAGTGTGGGGCTGTTTAAAAGTTTTGTTGCTGCAGTTCACATTTAGCATTTCTGATGTTTCTGGGTGTTGCAGCAAGTGGTTTCTGCAGAAGCTTGGCCATGAAGGTCGTGATAGTCAATATTTTCCCTCATCTTCCGCCTCATTCTTCGTTTGATTCGGCCTGTTCTCGAAACCGACCAGTGTATGTTTGCTCATTGTCCAGGTCTGAACAACTTACTGATGGCATACGAAGACAAATCAGCTTATGCTTTGTGTGTGTTCTCCTTCTCACTTGGGCCAGGTGCTGAACCTCTTACATTTTCGGGGAAAACTCCGGTAGGTTGCCGTTGGTCACTGCTCTATCATTTCGCTCATCTGGACCATCTGTTGTTGTTGTTGTGTGTTTCTCTTTGTTTTCGTTGAAGTAAGCAAGCACATCTAGTTTGAAGTTCTTCTTGTGCACATTTCTATGTGCAGTTACACACTGAACTTATGGTTATTTCCAATTGTAAAAGGAGCATATTTTCCTCTCGTTCTTAAGGATTTGGTATTGTGCTCAATGCTCTAGGGTAAAATAGTTCCTGCAAGAGGGCCAACTGACTTCGGGTGGGATCCAATCTTTCAACCTGATGGATATGACCAAACGTATGCCTCTGTTCTCTCCCTGAAACCTTCTATGCGTCCCCGTTTTTATTTTATCAATTATTTTTTGGGTTCAGGCATAACCGAGTTACATTCTTTCACCCATTGTCACAGTTACGCGGAAATGCCAAAGGAAGAAAAGAACAAGATATCACATCGTTACAGGGCTCTAGCATCGTTGAAATCTCACTTTGCTGAGGCTGGATATGTTTTTTCAGACACAATGTAAGAGGCCATGATCTGTCTGTTTTTTTTTTAAACATTAACAGATAGTCCCTAAACTATTTCAAAATTCAAAGGCTATTGCTTCTGTTAATCTCTTCAGTTCAATGACTAGGATGAACTATATATATATATGTTAGGTTCGGTAATTCAGAAATAGGGCAGGAGGGCATTGATCTTAGGGTTGGTACTTGGAAGTTTGGTTTCATAGCTTCTGTTTCATTACGAAATTATGGACCTTCAGAGCTTTGAGATTTGATACTTGGGAGTTTAGGTACCACACTGAACAAAAGGCTTAAAATGGGGTTGGAAGGTGAGTGAATGTAGAGATCATATTGGGTGGTTTCCTGCATTAAACTAGGGATCAAAGGTTGGTTCACGTGTAATGACCGTTGATGACCAAAACTATAAAGAGGCAATCTGGTGGTGAGTTATGGGTAGACATCTAGAAACAGGATTTCATGCATTTAGACGTATGAGCTTGTTTTTGTTCCACATCAGAACAAAAAGGGTGGTTGTGAGTGATAGAGATTTGGCTCGGGACTCTGCACTTTTTTTGTCTGATTATAGTGGTAGGGTGTCTTGAGGAATACACAGAGTGAGTAAGGGATGGGTAAACATTAACTAACTTGTGGTAAACAAAGTAAAGCGAACCCATCACGTTCACTTTCCTTCCCCCACCGTCACAACCGAAAAAGAAGAGAGATTTTCACGTCACATGTTTTGATTCATGGGGGGTGGGTGACTCACATGACATGATGTGTAAATGAAGCTTTCATTTACTTAAATATGGACTCTATGGGTAACTTTTTCACCCAACTTCCTTTCACTTCCCCTCTTGTTATTTTTTTTTTTTTTTGAGTTTTTGGGGTTATGGCTCTCATTAAATAATTTTAACCACAATTGCAACACCCCCAACCACTTCTCACTTCTAATCTCTCGTGTTGTTGTTTGTTTTGTTTTGAGTTTGGGGTTATGTCCCTTTTTTTGCTTTTAGTTTGAATACATGAAAGTTTGCAACTTTTTCTAGTACAATGATTTTTGACATTCAAGGAGACAAGCTTGGATGGGAATAAGCAGAGTTTTTACGCAAATCGATTTTCAAGGGGCACCGAATGATGAACAGCAGCTTGTGCTGCTCTCTCGAAACACAAAGCCAGATAGCAAAAACACTATAAACGGAAATGACAACACCATGCACCAAAACGAAAGGAAGATGAGGAGGGGTGAGTGAGACATCATGTGATATATTTAGATTCCTTTTTTTTTTTTTGTGTGTGACAAAATGTGTGTTCGTCCTAAGTATGTTCTCCCTTCCCCTGTTGTTGCCTTCAATCACACACTCATAACAAAAAGAAAAAAAACTTTCGACAGAATAAAAGACAAGGAGAGTGTCCGTCACTTGGAAAGAAACTAGGCACCCTCCCTGGATACAAACACACACAGACCTCAAGACACGAGAATTTAAAAAAAAAAACGACAAGAGGATTTTTTGTGGTAATACCGAAACAATTTGAACAACGCTTCTGGCGCCTGCTCCTCACCCACTTTTTCTGATATCTTCTGCATTTCCAAAAACAAGAAGCATAGCCGAGGTTGCCACGTTTCTTACCACCCCCCCTAAAAAACCATAATTCGGGGGAACGAACAAAACCACAAAAAAAAAAGACGACAGCGTGCCACAGCCCGAAAAAAAGAGTTGTGCACTTTTGCCAATACGTATGGAGGAGGGGATAGTTTGTTTTGGACTCGAAATAAAGGAATGAAAACGAGGGGAGAGACTGACTGTGTGATTTAGAAAGCTGACTGCAAAAGGAGAGGAGAGGAGAGGAGAGGAGAGGAGGGATATTACTCAGCAGGCTCTGCCTCTGCGGCAGCCCAGAGCTCCGGCAGCTGATGTGATGGTGCCCACCATGGAAGATGGCTTGGCTGCCAAGCTCGATGCACGCGCGTAACTCCCTGACGCTCCCGTTCCCGACGCCATGAAGAACGCCCCGTTCAGTAGAAGGTCTCCTTCCGACCTCCAGTTCCAGCTCTTCCACTTCCCCTCATCTGTTTCCACCCTCTTCGTCACCTGCCCCACATTCCCAAAATTGTCTCAACTTTTCATTTTTCATATCAGAAATACCCGTTTTGTTTGCAAAAGCAAAGAATCTGAACCTCCTTCGCGAAAGGGTTCTTGGGAGCATTGTATCGATTGCCCTGACTGTTGATGGTTGGATCCGCGCTTCCACCGATCGCATACATCTCCCAGTGCGTGTAGTCGTTGTTCACCACGTGGAAATACCCGTGTCTGCACCTGTAATGAATCCAAAAACTTCATGAGCAAACCCCATCGGATCTAAAAGAATCAGATAGTAAAGATTACCTAGGCATCCTCTGGACCAGTCCCTCTCCGAAATGGTTGTAAGCAATGGTCACTTGCATCTGCTTGTCTTTCGTGTACGAGTCACTATGTCCCAGCAACATGACCTAAATCATAACAATGTCATGCGAAAGAATCGGCCTTCTCTTAACGAGCAGAGCAACAGCAGGTAATGCAAATGGTTTCTGACCTCATTGTGGTGGGTGAAGTGGTTATTGGAAATGGTAATGGCGGTGGAACCCATGACAGCATCGACAAGGCCGTCAGCACAGTTTGAGAGAGAGTTGTGATCAACCCAGATGTGGCTCGACCCGAAGATGGATATGGCGTCACCATCGGCTATCGTCCTCCACCCGTAGTGAGTCGGTGAGCTTCTGACCATGGCGTTACCCGTAGGCTTGCAGTCGTGAATGTGCAGACCATGGATGATCACATTCGTGATGAACTGGATGGTGATGCAGGCTCCATTAGCGATGTGGACATTGACTCCTCGGCCATCAATAGTCTTGAAACTGTTCATGATAAGCTCCTGTTTCAACTGAATCACCATGTCCCTCTTGAACACGATCCATAGTGGCTCTTCCTGGATGACAGCGTGGCGTAGAGTCCCAGGCTTCGGGTTGACAACGTCATCATCGCTAGGGTCGGTCACTACATAGAAGCGCCCGTCACGACCACCAATGGCATTCCGTCCAAAACCAATTCCACAGTCAGCAAGACGCTTGCGGTTCTTGTGCCATTTCGTGTCACAGCGCCAACAGTCATCAATCGGGTTACCAGTTCCGCAAGAAAAGTAACCTAGCTTCCTCCTTGCAGTGTTGTTTTGTTCGCTTCTGAAAACATTTTAAAGGTGAAAGCTTAACGACATTTCATTTCATCCCTTGATAAACCACAACGCACATTGAAGTTCAGAATAGCAAAACATGACCAACTTTGTTCAAAAGCCCATTCCTTTCACCGACATCTTTAGCAGCTGACTTAACCTATCTGCCGCTTTCTTGTTTCGTTTCTACTCAATGGTTTAGGGGGGCAAAACATAATTGCGCAAGGACCCACTTTGTTTTTGTTTTGGACAACAAAAGTGATTACCGTGTAATCCACAAAATTTCCATTATCGTTAAAGACGAAAGAGACTCAAACTAAATGCCAGAACATGACAGCAGTTGCCAACACATTGTAAACACTAAACAGATGATATGCATTCATCCCCTGGTTCATTAATTGAACCAGGATGGGGATGCAATGTGACAGCATTAGCATTGTGTAAAAAAAAAGACAAGGAAAAAGGCAGTGCTAGCAGAGTTCTGACAAAACCAAACGTGGTGAAACTGCAAAGTGACAGATTTTAGCAGCTTGTGCATAAAGGGGGTTTCGTAACTGTTGCAGGCGAGAAGGATGGAGGGTGTTTCAGGTTTCACTTCACGACGAAATAAGAGGGGTTTCAAGGGAAGGCGATGACAGAAGAGGAAAGTTAAATAAATGCGCGGATCCAGTGACCGACAAAACACTAGCTTTTAACTTTTTTTTCTCGATTTTTCAGGGAAATAAATACACAAACAAGGAAATGGTTCTCGTAAAAGCTCCCATTCTGTACCAGACGATAATGAGTAACGAAGTTAACGACGCATGCCCCATAACGGGAAACCAAAAACCCCATTATTGACACTCGGAATTTCGCAGTTTTCTGAAATTGAAACGATTTTCCTTCTTCACAGGAAAAAAAACACTTGAAATTTTTTGCGGATGAATTTATTCTAAGGTTCACGTGTGCGGGGCGTCGCATTTAAATGTTAGTGAAGATTGCGGATTCGCCGAGTTTCTAAATCGCTGTAAAATCGCTAGGAAATCGAATAAATGCGTTCACACAGCACATGCATTTCGAGAGAGAGAGAGAGAAGGACGCACATCTCAACGAGCGCAGCGACCTCATCGGCAACCTTGTCTGGATCAGCAACCGCGTGTTCATTCAACTCGATGCCTTCGAGCCTGAAAACGAAAACAAAAAACAAAAAATTAAACAAAATTAAAAAAAAAAACATCCGAAACAAATGACACAACGGCAGTGAAGAATAAACCATTAAAATCAATTAGCATAACCAGCATCTGTTTAAGCACTTTTTTAAAACCAAAACCGCCTGCTTTTTCCACGTGGCGTCCTATGCACGCAAGTACAGCAATTCCTCTACACGCGAAAGTAGAACACTGCAACGTGCTGGGAGAGGGTTGTGTACGCGCTAAGATCCAAATCAGAGGGTCGTTAAAGGGAAAAATGAACAATTTAAATGACTAATTTACCCTTGTTCTCAGCTGTGTAAACTTTACCACTATTTTATTACTGACGTGGAATTTAGAATTAATAATAGGGGTAAAGTAGTCAACTAAAAGAAAGAGAGCATGTGTGAGCGGCCATATCCAGAGAGAGAGAGAGAGAGAGAAGCTCTGAGGAATCCATTGAAGGAATCGTTAACCGAATAAACGATTCGGATCCGAGGATTCAGATCTCAACGGCTGAAATCGTTGGCCGTTTAATTTTGGATAAAAATTTCAAAAGTTTCAGTGGGAATACTATTACTAATACCGTAAATCCAGCTATGTTACCTGTCCGCCATTGTTGAGCTGTTCGAGTTCTGCAACTCCTCTGTTTTCAGCTTCCTGGGAAAATAACGAACCCAAAAATGTCGGCTAACACTGGAATCCGGAGGTTGAATTTCGACTATTCGGTGTAAAACGAATTTCGCATAGTAGAGTAGTGCATTACGATTACGAAAACCAGATAATGCAGGACAAATTTTCTGTTTCGGAACATGCTGGGAAAATTTACAGTCGAAGGGGGAAAAAATATTGCAGAAAAACGAAAAGGTTCTTCGTCTAGCGGGAAAATTTTGGAGTTGTATTGAGAAATGGAGATCCTCGAAATCCTCCAAAAAATTTGAAAATGCAGCTCAAATGGAGACTCGAGGGGGAGAGAGAGAGAGAGAAAGACCTGGAGCCATAGATTTCGTTGTTCCAGAGATTCGTCGTCGTCAGAGCGCAGACGACAAGCACAAGGAGCACGGCAAGGCAAACACCGGTCCATATCCGAGACGAAGACAACGCCATTGCAGCTTCGTTTTCTCTGTCTTTCTCCCTCCTTTCTCGTGAAATTTCCTCTCACTTTCTCTCCGTCCAAACAAAGGGAGGAAAAAAAAGAGCTTGAACGTGAGAGAGAAAGCTAGAAGAAGAAGCAGAGACGAGTGACAGAGTAGTGCACAAGCTCCAAGGAAACCGTCTTCCGTTATTTATACGCGAAACGGAGGCAGACGTCGCCGTTAACAAACGCCGTTACGTAACGGACATTAACTCTGGTTAGGTTTCACACTTTTTCACGGACCCTTTTTTTTAATCCTAACTCTAACGCCGTAACTGTAATCAAACACTCATAACTGCCGGTAACCGCCCCATCTCTCGTGTACACCCTCCATATAGATTTTGGAAAAATAAAATTTTAAAAAAAAAATCCACCGTGTAAAATCACTAAACCCCCCCCCCCCAAAAAAAATATATTTATTTACGATGGTTAATTTTTACTACGCCCTCTCTGAATAATCGGGCCATTTTTATAATGGAAGTACGTCCAAAAAGCCACGTCAGCAAAATTTCAGAGAATAAAACAAAGGAAAAAAACCCAAGAAAAAAGAAGCAAAAGCATGGACTAACGAATCCAAGACAGGGAAAAAGCCACGTCAGCAAAAAGGTCGTAAGAGTTAGGGAGGTTCCGTACGGGAAGATGAATGGTCACTGGTTTTATGCCGGGTTTAATGCAAAAATGATCAAATTCTGATTCACGAGGAGCCAAATGATTTTGGAAAAAAAAAATTTTAAAAAAAAAAACCCCCGTGTAAAATCCCTAACCCCCCCCCCCCCAAAAAAAATATATTTATTTACGATGGTTAATTTTTACTACGCCCTCTCTGAATAATCGGGCCATTTTTATAATGGAAGTACGTCCAAAAAGCCACGTCAGCAAAATTTCAGAGAATAAAACAAAGGAAAAAAACCCAAGAAAAAAGAAGCAAAAGCATGGACTAACGAATCCAAGACAGGGAAAAAGCCACGTCAGCAAAAAGGTCGTAAGAGTTAGGGAGGTTCCGTACGGGAAGATGAATGGTCACTGGTTTTATGCCGGGTTTAATGCAAAAATGATCAAATTCTGATTCACGAGGAGCCAAATGCCAATACATAAAAACTTTATTATATGCTAATTTAATTTCTACATGTTTCGTGTTGATTACATTTTCCGTGAAAAAAAATTATTTTTCTCGGGTTTTTCTTCTTTCATGGCCGAATTTTCTCTGGCGCCAATCACGGTTCTACATTGACCGCCACGTCAGCGGTCCACATGCTTACACAAACAATTTTGAAATTCATATATAAAAGATTCACAACCCGTACCATACGTATATACGAATATGCATATCTTTTAAATCATTTAATTTTCATGTGCACGCAATGTTTTCATGTATGCTGTATATACACAAATGTATATAAGCAAATCAATGTGTACGAATATGTACATGTGAAATGTATTACTAAATTAATGTTAGTGTGTAAAGCAAAATACATAATGATAATCATATGTATTTAATTGCATGAAATTTTTGGTGGCACGGATTCTATCAATTAGACATTATAGTATATAATCAATCAGCATGAACTTTGGGATAGAGTAAACATAAAGGCTAAGACATGAAATTAGGACCTAAAAAAACGGTGCAAATTATTAAAATGCTTATCCGAATTTATTCAATTTTGGCCTTTACTACTTCTTTTGTAATCATTTGATTATAAAATATCTATATAATATGGAAGCCAAAAGCTTTCACGTGATTAAGAGTTCGCTTAATGAATCTGCTACTATTACTTATGGTAAAAAAAACAAAATTAACGTAGAGTTCAAGTATTCCAATATGAGAAATGATTAATTATTTATGGTTTTATAACTTCTCTTTTTTATTAGATTATGATACTTTATAACCAGAAAACTAGAAGAAAAAAAAATGTATGTCGTGTTATTCCAAATTAGAGAGAAGCGGGAGTATATATATAAAAAAAAGAAATTATTGAAAGTAATGGATCATAACTATATATATAGGTCTGATCATTAATCAAATATGAATATGATATAATTTATTTGAATATAACACATTCATGGTATATTGAGTTATAATAATAAACTAAGTTTCTTATTACATCATAATTATAACGAGTATATATTATTCACTAATCGTGTAAAGAATCACTAAAAAATACGATTTACAAAGACAAAACTCTAAACTATCTCAGTTTTCATATTTAAGTAGCTGATGGAGAGAAATGATGTAATTTAATTGCAACTTGATTATCTTCTAATTTGTATTGAGTCGAAAATAAGATAAATCAATATGATTCACAAAAAAAAAAAAAGAAGACAAAACCCTAGAATGGATAGATATTATAGTAAAACATACGATTAAAAAAAAATCACAGTACATTACTCGCATTTTTTGCAATAAATCAATATATTTTTCTTGTAAGGAATGATATAAGGTAAAATAGAAGGCCATTTATACATTATGATGTTTTAATGAAAAAAAAATCTATAGAACAAAAAGATTAAAATTGGATATATGCATATGGTTCCGTTGTCCTGTTTTTAATAGGTTTGAATTTGGACGTTGGGCAATTTTTTTTATTAGGGTTCTATTACGCTTTTGTTATTTCTCGGCTAAAATAAAAGTGTTAGGCTAAAAAATTAAAAGAATAACATAAAATAAAGTTAGGCATGCGTTTTCAAATTAGCCAAACTAACACATGCAAAAATCCATACAAACCAAACTCAGAGAAATTCAATTTGGTTACATATATGTGACTCGTAATAATTAGAATCTAATTTGTTAAGGATATACACCACAACATTATAATTTTGTTTTTTTAAGATTAAATCTTTATAATAATGTCTTAATATCTATATTAAGAATTCATTTATGTTTTATAACCCTTTACAGATCGAGTCTATTATAAATTAACGTGTTCATATATTTACTTAATAGTTAATAATAGTGGACAAATATCGGTTCATTGTTCAATATTGTTGTGCTTTTCTTTATCTCAATTTTAATAATATTATTGAACAATTCGTTTCTTTTAATCGAAATCCAAGACACAAATAAATGAAAAATGCGTAAGGGACTTGTTAATATAGGAATGATTTTACAAGGAAAAAAAGTCATTCAACATATATCGAAGCCGACTTTTTTTTTTATCCGTCAAGCATAAACAAACATTTTTAAGAAACCCATTTAATATTATGGGATGTAAATGTAATTTTTTTAATAAAATAAGTGAAACTAGAGTTTTAATTACGTATGGATAATTAATTAGTAATACATATCGGTTTCGAACGAAAATTTCTAAGGATTATGAAAATATGGGACAAACCTGCCCCTTCGATTTAACGCAAAACTCGATAAGATTGACGGATTATAAAGCTTAAAAAAATATTTACTAGTGAAAAAAAGCACCAAATTTACTGACTTTTAAAAAAATGAAAATTAAAAAATTGTATCGAAATAATATATTTCACCCTTTAGTTAACCTTTACGGGAGCATGGTCTATGTTCCCCTCATGCGACATTACACCCAAGTGGAACCAATCATGTTCATTCCCTCACGCTCACAACAGTTTACTGCATTTACCGTTTTACCCCTTCGTATGTATGTATGTATATATATATATATCCACATATATACACACACATGTAATTTTTGATTATTTTTTTTTGTCAAAATGTGGTATTTCTATTCTTATAACTTATACAACAATTTTTGATATTTTGGATCGTAAATTTGTCATTTATATGTTTTGGTTATGATTAGGTCTTGACATTTTTTAGTTTGCAAGGTAAAATGATTGTCTAACGTACTTACAACCAACGATGATGGAGTTGCATGCATGCCTTTGGGCTTTGGTTCATAACATTGGCATGCATGCATACATATATACATGCATACGTACATATATATATATACATACATGAATGTGAATGTGTGCATTGTAAATCTATTATTTAATTTAGATATCAATGTATTTTTGTTATAAGATTCTTGAATATTTGCAATAGCTTATGCAATGAATAGTTTGATAATATATCACCTAATACTATTTAAAAAATGTTAGATTTTTTATCATCTTATTTGGAAATATATATATGTATATATACATATATATATATAGCGTGTTTAGATGAATCATGGAATACTTTAGATACAGAACGTTTGAACGTATTTTCAGGGATAAAATAAATAAATTCGAGAGCGCGAAAATATGGGATTTATTCTAAAAGAAAGATTTTTAGAATATAAATCAATATATTTTGTAGGCTAATGGGATAATTAGAAGTTGGACATATTTTAAAAGAATTGATAATCCGTCTGAAATCTATGTCACCATATTATTAAGAACCCAAAAAACTCAACGGACTGCCATTGTATGGGCTTTAATTAAAAAAATTCCTAACCATTGGAATGATGAAATTTATATCACTTACGTGTGTGTAGTAACGGGCAATTAATGTTTTCTACATGTTTTTTTTTAATATTTAATATAGATTTTGTCGGTCCATGCCATGTAATATATGCACACTCATTTCGAGATTTACATATCAAAATAACTACGCCGACAAATATATATATATATATATATATATATATATATATATATATATAAGATATATTTTAGGCTAAAATGTAAATGTAGGAGATGACCATTAAAACATCGAGCATGTCAAAGCCAAATCGTGAGCAAATAACTTGGCACATACGCAAAAGAAATGGGCCGAACGGTCCATCTAATGATTATTTCCAAACATTTTAAATACATTTTCGAGGTTTAATGTTAAAGTTTTTACGAAAACATTATATATGTATAACTATAATTAAGATATTATGTCACTTCAGCATTACAAAAATAGTAGATTTTTAATTCATAGATTGTAGAAATCATCATTTCACTTCTATAATTCGTTGGAGAATTAAATTCAGTAGTACATAAAAGTAATATGGTTGGGACAAATATGCTAATGTTAATGTTTAATAATATAAATCTTTGTCTCATAATATATGTATATATATATATATATGTGTGTTGTAAATAAAAATATAATTTCAAGGAATAATTATGGTAGAGTCAAAATGAGGTGTAATTTCAAGGGCCATGACAGCCTTTGACTAGTCATAAAACACATATATATATATATATATATATATATATGTGTATATGTTTTTACTTAGGAATCTCTCCCGTAACATAAGGGGAGAATTGGTTCCCATGGCTTATTTAAATTTTATTTTATCCAAGAAAAAGCGTAAAAAATAAAGAGAGAGTCTTTGAGACTGTTCCTTGTGTGCGTGTATATATACCGTATATACATTAGCAACTAGCAATACGTTTCCTATCAAATCTTTTCAATGTATTTTATGATATTTAGCGTAAATATTATACAACTCATATCTTTTGTACGGCACTCTTCAAAATCAAGATTTCCCTTCAATTCAATTTTCTTTATCATAATTATTGATATTAAGGTTTGATTAGCACCACTAATATGGCGACACGTAATATCGAGCCAGAGAATTAAGCGGCATATTCCATCGTCCAAATGAGAGAGAAAAAGGTTTTTTTTTTTTTACTTTTTGCCATTGTTATGATCTCTTCTCCCCTCTGCTCGCAATTATCCAAAGTACGAAACTTTGTTCATTCCCGAGGGGAAACGAGACGACCCATTTCGATTATCGTGGAATCACGACCGTCATTCGTCATGCCCACTCTGTTTTTGATGATTTTAGTGACTTCAATTCCGGTGTTTTGTGTCGCCGGCGATGTGATTCCGACAACCTCGGACGGCCCGTTCGAGCCCGTGACGCGGCGGTTCGACCCGTCTCTGAGGCGGGGAAGCGATGACTTGCCCATGGATCATCCGAGGTTGAGGAAGAGAAATACCAGCTCGGATTTCCCAGAACAGATATCTCTCGCTCTTTCATCTCCGACCTCAATGTGGGTTTCTTGGGTTACTGGTAAAATCCTTAGTTCGACTCCTCCATCGATTCTTCTCTAGACCTCGAAAGTTGCTGGAGATTTTGGATTTCGCTTATTCGGTTATTCTGGGTTTTACTGTGTCAAATCTATAAGATGTTTCATGTGGCTTATGTTATGTCTGATCCTTCATACTTGCCTGAGTATTAGCGTACAGTGTCTACGATCCAAAACCGTTTGTTCGTTTGTAATAAAGAGATGATCGAGTGGAAATTTCACATGTAGACTAACGCACTGAACCTTGAGGGAGTTCAAGCTTTGTCAATGCAGATAGCTAGATCAAGAAAGTTGCTTATGTTTCTATCTGGGGATGTGAATTTTGTGTTGAATTCCTTCCTTGGAGTTCACTTGTTCCGATTCGAGCTAAGTTTTCTTGGATCCGTTCTGTTCGGTTTCTTCTTCAGGGGATGCTCAGATTGGAAAAGATGTAAAACCGCTAAATCCTTCCTCGGTTGCTAGCGAGGTCTGGTATGGGAAGGAGAAAGGGAAATATGTGCATAGAAGGAGAGGCAATGCCACTGTTTACAGTCAGTTGTATCCCTTGGACCTCCTTAACTACACCTCCGGCATCATACACCATGTCCTGATAGACGGTAAAGACGGAATTTCGATCTTTTCGATCTGAATTTGGAGTAACGGGTTTCCTCTCTATATGTTTCGAGAACGTGGTTGCTGTACCAACTTGACTTGAACTATCTTCAATCTTGCAGATCTTGAGCCAGGAACTAAGTACTATTACAGGTGTGGAGACAGCTCTCTTCCTGCAATGAGCGATGAGATCTCGTTCGAGACTTTGCCACTCCCGAGCAGAGAATCATACCCTCGTCGAATAGCTTTTGTCGGGGACTTAGGTCTGACCGGAAACACGACAACCACTATCGACCATTTGATGAAGAATGACCCTTCTTTAGTGGTAATTGTCGGAGATTTATCGTATGCAAATCAGTACCGCACAGTCGGTGGGAAAGGAGTTCCTTGCTTCTCGTGTTCGTTCCCCAATGCACCTGTCAGGGAGACATATCAACCTCGTTGGGATGCTTGGGGAAGGTATACTTATCATCCATGAATCGGTTCAGTTTCTATTCCATAAAACGTATAATCTGTGTGTGTAGGTTCATGGAGCCACTGACCTCGAGGGTGCCAACAATGGCCATTGAAGGCAACCATGAAATTGAGCCTCAAGCTTCCGGGATCATGTTCAAGTCATACTCTACAAGATTTGCTGTTCCATCAAGTGAGAGTGGCTCCAACACCAATTTCTACTACTCCTTCGACGCTGGAGGAGTGCACTTCGTCATGTTGGGTGCATACGTTGATTTCAACCGCACTGGTAAAATTTTTCCAACCCTAATAGAAATAAGCCGATACTTCTACTCAATACTATGATCCATATAGACATTATAAATTCTTCCGAGGTTTTTCTGAAACGTATGTATGTGTTTGATTTCAGGTGCTCAGTATGAGTGGCTAAAGGAAGATTTGGCTAGAGTTGATCGCACGGTGACACCCTGGCTCGTTGCAGCAATGCATCCGCCGTGGTATAACAGCTACTCCTCACACTATCAGGAGTTCGAATGCATGAGACAGGAAATGGAAGAGCTGCTCTACCAATACCGTGTGGATATCGTGTTTTCTGGACATGTAAGTTCACGCCTTTCTCGAACAAGACGGGATTTTTCCTTCACTTCTTTCCATTATCTTAACCATTCTCCACAGATTCTTGTTTTGTGCACAATGACAAATAATGGTTACCGAAGTCAGTCCCTAGGCCTTTTGTTAAGAACTCGGGCATTTTGCAGTACTGAAGCTTGAATTCTTCTGATTCAGAGATCAAAGGGCATTTTCTCGTTCTGTCTTTTTCGCTTTCCCTGTATGACTGCATTGCATTTGTCACTGCAGGTGCACGCTTACGAAAGGATGAACCGTGTATACAACTACACACTCAACCCATGTGGACCAGTTTACATAACCATTGGAGACGGTGGGAACATCGAGAAAGTGGATGTAGACCATGCAGACGATGCTGGGAAGTGTCCTTCCCCGACAGACAACGTCCCTGAGATTGGAGGATCGTGCCCTTTGATTTTCTCTTCCGGTCCTGCAAAGGGCAGGTTTTGCTGGGACACACAGCCAGACTGGAGTGCTTTCAGAGAGAGCAGCTTCGGCCATGGAATCCTAGAGGTAAGGATACAACTTGTGAAAACGAAATCTTGAATGGAAATGAGAAAAACCCTCCATCCATATCATATGATATCAGGGTTTGTTTATCATCATCATCGTCATACACTTGAAAGTCCTTTCCTTTCAACCCTGGGAAGGCGGCTCAACGGGTTTCTTTCGGAGAATGTGTCATTAGAGGTCGCGGGTTCGAGTCCATGTGATGAAAATCGCAGAGATTATGATTGATACAGGTCGTGAATTCGACGCATGCCCTGTGGACATGGCACAGGAATCAAGATAGCTATAAAGATGAAAGCTTTGGTGATCGGATTTATGTTGCTCGTCAGCCCAATCTCTGCATTTCCTCTGCATCTTCCATGGTACATTTGCCACATACACACACACACATATATACGCACATACACATGTATAGGTACGAGGTTAATGTGTTGGAAATTGTGGAAGGTAAGCAGAAGCAGAAGCCGGAGGGAAGGAAGAGAGAGCAGTCAAGTGGGAAGCTTAGGCTTCATCCATATGATTCCTTGACGCTTATTTGGATCTCTTCATTGTTTTTGGAGATTTTCATATATACATTCCATATATAAAGAGTGACAGATACAAAACATTGATTGTTTTTCTTTGTACGTACATACATACATACATACATACATACATACATACATACATACATACATACATACATACATACATACATACATACATACATACATACATACATACATACATACATACATACATACATACATACATACATACATACATACATACATACATACATACATACATACATACATACATACATACATACATACATACATACATACATACATACATACATACATACATACATACATACATACATACATACATACATACATACATACATACATACATACATACATACATACATACATACATACATACATACATACATACATACATACATACATACATACATACATACATACATACATACATACATACATACATACATACATACATACATACATACATACATACATACATACATACATACATACATGCATACATACATGCATGCATACACACTCTCGTATTGGGATATATCTAATAATGTTAATTCAATTAGTTGAAATTCGGCCGTTGATAAGAATATTATATTATTTAAAAAGAGTAATAAAATTTAGAAGTGTGACTATGGAATAGAAATATTTTTTTTTTTTTGCTCTCATAGGTAGTATTTTTGGACAAACATATTTTTATAACAATTACACGGCTCAAAATATCTAAATTCCCATTTGTGATCCTTTTTAAGACCGGATTTGATATCAAACCTTTTTCCCTCAATTTTCCATTTTTTTTATTGGGATATTTAAAAAAATATATGTTTTCTCACGCCGTGATTGACAAGAAGAATAAAAGTCTGAATGCACTAAATAAATAAATAATATTATATTATATTCATATATACTAGACTAATTAAAAAGGTTTTATTTCTTATTGTCAAAAATTAAAAAGAAAAGATGACACGATTAATAAAAAAATTAAAAAAAAGGAATTGGGTTGACATTCATGGAATGTGACACTGTGGTTGGCCATTGAGAAACATACTTAGCAAGTCAATTTGTTAGCTCTCTAATTGGCCGACATTGTGTAACCACAACGTTTTCAGCACTTTGAGCTTCAATTATTATTATTATTTATTATTATTATTATTGTTGTTGTTGTTATTATTATTATTATTACTAGTCTTATAAATAATATAAACTTAATATTTTGTGTCCATGAGGAATTATCCTTGTTCCTTGTAGAATTGAATCCAATAATATGACAAATATTAAATATATTATATGATACATAATTCGATTCAATCTCACGCCTGAATTTATCTTTTTAAATAAACTTAAAAAAATATGTTATACATATATATCTAAATTTATTCTATTAACACAAACTCATATTTCTTATATATACATATAAATAGTTTGTAACTAAAATTATCGTAATTCAAATCGGACAATTTTTATTGGGGTTGACGTAGTGAGAGCGTGGCATGAAATAAGAGACATAAAGAGCTCGCAATTAGCATATCATTATCATAACTTTTTTTTAATCATTAAATCAACAAAAAAAAAGGTAATTAGATGGAACTAAATTTATAAAACTTTAACAAAAAAAACAAATTTATAGTAAAAAAAAAATATAATCGGAAAAGAGTTGACTTAAGGAGGAAGAGACACGCTCCTATATCCAATAAGCCTTTGAAGATAGAGCACTTTTAATCACTTTTTATCACTTTGTATTGAAATTATATATATATATATATAGCTATTTATGAAAAAAAAAATATTTATTTCGATCCACCAAAAATCAAGGAGACAGGTGTACGGACGTCCGAGCCGTGGCGGCGGTATAGTAACTTCCATTCGCGTACTGTGTTTCTTTTTTGGAAAAAAAAACTCATGATTTAATTCGTTGTCCAATTTATATTTATGGTAGACCAATATTTTTAATGCACCATTATTATTATTATTATTATTATTATTATTATTATTTCTTGTAATGGAAATAAGTGTTGCATCATAGCATTTTGTGTAATGATGTCGCGACCAAAAACAAAATGGAATACTATGATGTTGTTCAAATTATCGTGTGGAGTACATCAAATATTTTCTAGAATTTCGGTTGTTATAACGTCGGATCCTTTTTTATGCATGAAATGATTATATATCGAATATTCGATTTTCGACTTATAATCTAGTTTTTTTTTGGAATTTCACATATTAATCAGTAAAGAGATATTTTGGAAGTCTCGGTAATTTCCAATATTATGAATCATTATTAATAGGAAAAATGATATAAATCCACACAAATTAAGTCAAATGTGTAAGATTAGTATATGAATTTTTAATTTGATAATTTTCCGCACTTGAACTCAAATTATACCAATTTATCACACAAAATGAGAAAATAATTTCCAAATTCCCCCGCAAAGGAGAAAATAATTTATCATTTTGTGTGATAAATTGGGATAATTTGAATTCAAGCGTGGAAAATTGTCAAATTAAAAATTGATGTACTAATCTTACATATTTGACTTAATTTGTGTGGGTTTATGTCATTTTCCCTTATTAATATTATCAGCTAATTTTCCACTAAATATATATCAAAGTGAAAGCTAGGGTTCCTCAAGTTATATAAAAACAAAAAATTGCACATGGCACCAAATTAATGTGCATGTGTTTGTTATATTTCCCTCGAGAGCAAGCATTTGGCTTTTTCCTCGAGAAGGTAAAATTTATAATGTCAATTCACTCATACCCACTTCAACCACCAAGAAATTTGTCTACTTTTTGTTTTATTGGCCTCTTGAATATATATATATATTCAAGATCTAATCTCTAAATCCAAATATGGGTGGCAAAACGGAAAAGTGGAAGAATAAAATGTTATCCCTCCCGAATTTGAGCGGACGTTTTGGTTCGGTTCTTCGGAACCGGATCAGACCAAACCTTTAAAACGGTATTTTTTCTAACCCGAAACCGTTGTTATTTTCCGAACAGTACCATTTTTAAAGAACCGATTTTTTCCGGAACCGAACCGAACCAAATGAATGGGTGGCAAAACGGAAAAGTGGAAGAATAAAATGTTATCCCTCCCGAATTTGAGCGGACGTTTTGGTTCGGTTCTTCGGAACCGGATCAGACCAAACCTTTAAAACGGTATTTTTTCTAACCCGAAACCGTTGTTATTTTCCGAACAGTACCATTTTTAAAGAACCGATTTTTTCCGGAACCGAACCGAACCAAATGAATTTTAAAAATCCCGAAAAACCGAATATTTTTAAAGAAAATCTAACATTTTTTAATAAAACCCGGAACCGAACCTAACCGAATCGATACCGAAATCGAACCGAACCGAATATAATAAAAAACCCGATTGGTACCTATTTTTGTAAAACAGAAAGAACCGAACCGC